CGGATTAATATCAATGAACAATCAACTCAATCCTAATGATGAAACCTTAACGTTCTATAACTACACTATGACAATAGCCAATGGCACAGAAAGAAAGATTGACTCACCTGAGAGCAAGTATGTATTATTAAATGCTATTACTCATTTAATAAATGAGGAAGATTTCATACTCAATTGCAGCTATAATTATACCAAAATATTCATCTTTGATCTAGCAAGAATACATGCTCTATAAAAGATATTTGAGCTTAGTTTATATAATGATGATATAATCTCAAATTAATCATTAGCATTTGGAATAAAAAAAGATGAGGCTATCAAATATCCAGATTTCTCTTTGAAGGAATATCTCAAATACTATTCATTAGAGCCTTTGCAATTCAAAGTAACTGTTTAAAATTAGTTGATCAACACCAATCTTAATGTGATCAGTCGAATTGAAAATAAAAATAAGGTCTCTGTTACTAATGAAAAAATACTTAACAAATTGAGTGAATGGGCTGAATCCTATCAATTAAGTAGGCTTGCGTAAAATAATTTTGGAATTCTCCTTTATTACTAAGGAAGATTGATCAACAGATATAGAAAACAGTTGGGAGTCTATCCAAACAATCTTGAACAAAGTGGATACATTAATATATCAAAGGTTGTTAAGCCAAATATGACATTTGAAGTAATCAATTTAAATAATCTTAGGGATTTAAAAATTCATACTTAGGTTCTATATTACTTTAAACTCTGGAAGCATTGGAGGAAGAGTGTGAACCGGAGCGAAGAAAAGAAATTAAAATTTGATGTTATTGTCTATATATCATAATATAAATGTAATAATATAATAGCATTTAATGTATCTCCTTAGATAAATGAAATTTCGTAGTAATGTCAAAAAGTATTAATCAGACATGCAACAGATTTATAAAATACAGATATTGTTAATAAGTATGAAGTAAGATTTAAACTTGGATAATCATAAATAAAGTATCTTTATGTATAGTACAAATTTTTTCAATTAAATAGTCAAAATTTTGTAAATTTGTAATGGATAAATTGTTTATAGGTTAAGATGTATTCTAACATTCTTATCGACTTTATCTAACTATCTCATATCTCAACTTTAATGCAAATTTACTATCTTTTTAGCTTAATTTTACATTCTTCAAATAAATAGAAGAAGAAATATAAAGTCAATAATCAATGATAAATTAATTTTATGTTAGTTGAGTTTGAATAATTTTTTTTTTTGATAGTTATTGATACCATTACTAAGACAAAAGAAAATTTTCAAAAGTATCCCTTCACTCATAATATTTTAAATTATTAATTCAAATGCAATTTATTTCAGAGATAGAAATAGTTTTAGATATTGAATATTATTAGAAAATAGTTAATTATTTGTATAAATTGAATTATCAACTTCATCTTTATGCTTTTTCGCTATTTTATAAGGGTTAAATAGATTATGATTAAGGATAGCAAGAAACATGATAATTGAATCCAGGAAGGTAATTAGGAACCTACTAGAAACTATGACTATTTAAATTGGGTGGAAAATTCAAGATGGATCTTTAAGGTACACTTTAAGAGGCTCCTTGATAATGCTATTAAGAGCTATTGAATGGAAAAAGTTGAAAATAAGAATTTATATTTTGGTGATTCTCTTGAAAAGCCATTGAATTTTATAGAAGGGAATCATCTACATTTTAATTTAATCTTATGTTACTTAAGATATTGTTATAGCTAGGTAGACTTGGATTACTTACATGACCAAGCAATCCTTAGTTTAATGCTATATCTTTGTTGAGATTATCTTAGGTTTTGGAGAATTAATTAATCTATTCTTAAGTGATAAAATAGATTTTATTTTTCTCTTTATTAATTAAGCATGATTATAATTATAAATATTCATTTGATGAGATTTAAGTAAAATCCATAATTTACAAGGTTAAGGTGTTTTATTCTTATTTCTAATAGATATTTTCAATTTATTTATAATAATTAAAATTATTATCATCCTTATAGTGATTATCCATATGTTGAATGTCAAGATTGTCATTATTTAATAATAGATCTTTCTGTTGTTATTAAATAATATTTCTGGATTAACGAGTTGATGAAAACTTTTTTGAAAGTTAATCAAAATCTTCTTATTTTACATCGTAAGGATCACCACCATCTTCTTTCATTCTCCACTCAATCTTTTTGATAATTTAATTGATAATTCTTAATTCTTCTAAATTTAATTCTTCAGCAGAAGGCTTAGATGAAAAAGAATCTTCTAATTCTGAATCACTCTCTTAATTAGAAAAAGTTTAAACTTTATTATTTCTTTCCTTTCTCATCAAACAATTAAATCTATTTTTTACATTATTTTCACTTCTCTATAGTTTTAGTGATTTTGAAATTTAAGCCCATTTTTTTCCATTTAAAATGGCCAATTTCAAAAGCTCTAAATCTTCAAATAATTACCAAGGTTTTCTGAATTTTAAATATACTCGTACCTATTAATAGATGGATTCAGATGATTATTCCACCTTTCCCTGCACTGTTTCCCATTTCTATGAATACTTGTATCAGTACGTTTGTTAAGAGTTGTAGCAATTTGACTCCATTTATTACCTTTATTTAATCTCTAATATTCTTGAATAATTAATAGGAGTGCATCATCTTCTTCCTCAGTCCATGGAGCTTGTTGCAATGGTAGTCTCAACATTTGAAGCCACTTTTATTTGCAATGAAAAGCATCTCTTCTTTACATCATTGAAGATATATTGATCCAATCAGTCTCACTCTATAAAATTCATATCAACAAATTGAATACAATATTCTTAAAATCTCGCTTTTGGAAGGCAAAGTATTTTCCAATCAGCCAAATTAATACTTTTTTATCATCTTCAGTCCAGTTCTTCTTCAATTTATTTGCACTTTACTGGATACTTGCCTGGTTGTTCCTTTGAATGTTCAGAATATAATAGTTTTCTGGAAATTAGTCGATTCCAAGATTATATAACTCTTTCATATAAGTGAATCTCACATTGGTCATGTCTTTAACTTTATCGAAAAAATCTTTAAATTTGATGAAGAAATCATCCATTATTTCAATTTTTCAGAAATTATAAAATAATCCAATTTATGAGTGTCCCATTAATTATGTATTGTCTAATAATTTTATAATGGTTTTTAGTTTCATAAAACAAGGATTGTTATGATTTTGTTGTAAATTTACGGGCGAGATAGTGTTTATGGAAATGATAGGTACTCAAGAAGTTGATTAATATATTTGTGTGGTTGCATAATACAATTCAATACAAGTGTCTTACAAAAATGTTAAGCTTGCTTTTGGAAAGGAATTCTTTCTAAAAGAAAATATTTTATGGAAATACATTAAATCTCCCTTCTGTTTCTATAGGGTATAGAAACACGGCATATAACTATAAGATTTGAAAGGTTTTATCAATTTTCATTCGAATGCTTAATTAACATAGTAAGAAGCGAATTTTGGAGATAAAGCAGAATGAAAGAAATTTAAAAATCTAATATAAATTTCCAACCATTCAAATTAATGATGTTTATTTTTTTCGTCCAATAAAATGAATAAATTATGCAGATATAACCATGATATTGAATATGCAATCGATAATTTAACTTCTCTTAGAAGAAGGTGCTCATTAAGAATAATCATAGGGATAATTAGAAGAGGGACAGAATTGAAATTCATATTCGTATATAACAAGGAAATTTCAAAATTTTATACCAAGTCATCAAATAATAAAATTATTTATTTTGAACCACTTGGATTTCTATTTCAGTTTAAGTATTATCATAAACTATCTAATTGTTGTATTAGCATGATATATTTTGTTATTGAGATCTAAACTAAAAAATATGAGAACTCAATTACAGTTTTTGTACAGAGTAACTGAAGATTAGATTGTTTTACACTTTTTAACATAAATAGAATAATGTATATTATTGATGCAAATAATATCCTGGTTATTCAAATTATAACTATAGGAAAGGATATGAAAGGATTAATTAGAATATTCTTAAATAAAACTATTCATTTTTCGATCTAATAATTGAATAGGGCTATGAATTTTAAGCATCTAATAATTTGATCTGTTAAGGATGAGATACAAGCCTGCCTATTATTTCATTAAAAATTTGGCATCAATTTTTACTTGAAGTCTTCTTATAGTGGATGTCGTCGGCCAAAATTTAAATTATTTTGTGTTGTAAAAATTTGCACACAAAAGATTAAGTTTATTTATGTTAATATTATACTATATATATATTTATAATACATTTTAATTACTAAATTAATTGGCATTTTTAATCTCAAATTATTGAAAAGTTTGAGTGTTACTTCACAAACAGAAACCAAATTGATATCAGTGATGCGATTAGATTCATCTGGCGTTGTTGGGAAACAAAAAATAAGTAACTTAAGCTTCAATTCCAGAAAAAAAGAGAGAAACAGAAAGAAAATAACTTGATCAATTAATATATGAAAATTATGTCATTAATAAATATAATTATTGTTTTCTATTATATAATATTGATTTTTGAAGCAGTATATATTACAACTTGAGTGTTTTGTTTTTGCTATTTTTATCTTTTATATTAAATTTAATATCGTTCGATGCAGTACTAAATTTGTCTTAAACTATTTACGAATTCTTAAACACCTTAAATTTATGCTGAAACCGATAAAGAACTTAAAAATGATATTGAAACATTTTTTATATACCTTTTTTAATATCATTATTTGTAATCCCCATATTATTAATAAATACTATTTAATTATCAAAATATTAACTTAATATTAGTAACTTTATATTACTAATCTGTTTCAGAATTTACTCGAATGAGGACAATACTATGATTCTGTTTGTAAATTTGCAGTCTAATTCTCCACAAGAAACCAGAAAGTAATAAATGATATTAATCGTTATTATTTACAATAGTAATAATAAAGTTTCTTTTCAGTATTAAATAATAAAATGAATCCCCAAAAAATTACTAAAAATAAAAATGATCATCATGTGCCCAGTAATTTTGAAATGGAGGATTTAAGGGGTAAGGCTCTAATATTAGTTTTTATAGTGGTTTCTCAAGAGATTGCAATCAAAGAGTTCTATCATTTTATTGAAAAAACATCTTTTATTTAAGAAAATTTTGAAATGTTATCTAAAGTTGGTGATAATTTAAGGTTGGATTTTAAAGATTGGCCGACAGCTGAATAGGCTATTGTATTATTTAAGCTTAATCTGTACTGTTATATTCAAATTTTAAGGTAAAATGGAAGAAAGAAATCCATAAAGTGGAGTGAGACCGAAAAAAAGTTGTTTTATTGGATAGTAATCCGATATTGTTTATATAAAGGGTTGAAGGATAATAGATTTATAGTAAATGATTTATTAACTTTACAGAAATATGAGGAATGGAGAGAAATTTCTAAAATTGTTTTAGGAAGGAATGCCCATTAATGTAGATTGAAATGGGAATAAAGATATCGAGTTCCATTATCTTAAATACCTTGGACAGAATAGGAGGATTAATTGTTATTTTCAGTACATGAGTAAGAAATGATTTGATATTTAGAGAGTTTATGAAATCGGGCAGGGAGAACAAATGGTCTCAAATAGCAAAGGAAATATTCAAACAATCATCAACCAAAGTATTTAGATAGCCGAAATAATGTAGAGAGAGATGGATAAATAGATTGGATCCAAACATATCTAAGTATCAAATATATATAAATTAGTGTGCCTTGGGATAAATAATAAGAGATCGATTTATTGAAGATGATTTTGATAAGAGGTAAGAAATGGTCTGAATTATCTATCCTATATGGTAGGGCCAGGACTGAAAACACCTTAAAAAATAAATATAATTCATTGATAAAGAGAGAGATTTAGAAATAAGAGATTAATTGTATTAATCCAATCTTATTTGAGAAAGTATAAACTTTAAGACAGAGTTATTCAAAAAAATATGGTATAGCAACACCAATTGAAGAAATTGACAACTTCGAATGCCAATTTATTCTCTTAGCTATTAAAAATTTATATGTGGAACTATATTTATAAGAGGGAAGAATTGCAGAGGCATAAAAGATAAATAATGACGAGTTCTTTGATTACCTTCCCAATGACTCTTTATAGGTTAACACTAATTAAAGATTTTTATATAAGAAGAATTTGAATATTAAAAAGGTTGATTCCAACTTTTATGTAAATAACGATCATAGCAGTCTAGTCATTTTTAACAAAAAAAATAATAGAATCTATTTAACTCCATACAATGTATTGGATTTCTCGGATATTATACTAAATACTATATTAAAAAGAGTTAATCTTGACAATAATGCTCTTAAAAATGTTAAAGAATAGAGTTCTTCAATAAATCAACCTAATTTTATATTTGCAAATCAATAAAACTGCATAATTCCTTTTTAATAGATGTTACATAACTATTTATTTGTTCCAAACTGTTTTGCATAATCAATATCATCCTAAACAAGTAATTCATTTTAATTTTGTACTTTGCAATAAAGTCAGTAATATGATTAATTGAGAAGTGTTGATTTAAGCTATTTAAAAAATTAAAAAGATCTGATTAATTCTATAGGAGTAGATATCAAAACTGTAGATTCAAGTGATGAGATTTGACTTCAAATAGTGTATAAAATTTTAGATAAATTTATTATTCTATGTATACTGTTATAAAATAAGTCCATTGATTAACACAGCATTATTTATATATATATATTTCATAAAGTAGATATTTGAAGATAAATTGATTCATCTCAGTTTAATTATGTGTTCATGCTAATTAATTTTGGTTCAACTTCAGTAAGTATCCTTTGTAAATTACTATATTTATTCGCCTCGACTGCTTTATGATATGGTAAGCTATCCTCCACAGCAGGTTTTCCTTTTTTGTTTAATTTCTAAGTGCATTTCTACTCCAATTCTTGATTTTTTTAATCTTCTTCATCACAAATATTTTCATTTTTATTGAAATAAAATTCTTTTAGAATGATATCTTTTGGAAAATTTTCTTGCATGCTTTTTTGTAATGGTTTTATGAATTACAAAAATTCGCCCTCCCCTTTTCCAAACTCTTTTTCATCAAAATTGAGGGCAAAATAATCAGGAACATATGGAGGATTAATCTTTTTAGAATTAATATCTTTATATAAATTTTAATCTCCCCATTAAGTCATCCAAGGGTGTTTTAAGACAGTATCAATGGAATCAATTCTGTCTTTAGGGTTTTTTGCTAATAGATTTGTCAGAAGATTTTTGATCGATGATGATAATTATAATTATGGTGGGAAATTTAATTTCTAATTTAAAATTCTCTAATAGATCTCTTCTAGATTTCTAGAATAGAATGGAGGAAGACCAGTTATTAATTCGTATAGCAGTGCACCTAAGCAATACAAATCTAATTAAAAAGTATGCCCACTTTTTAATAGCATTTCTGGTGCCATATATTCAGAGGATCCACAAAAGGAATATGCATTTTCAGTTTCAATCATGTTGGGCTTAGACAATCCAAAATCAGCTATTCTGATATGTCCATCTAAATCAATTAATATATTTTCAGGTTTAATATCTCTGTAAATAATATTGCTAGAATGCAGAGTTTTCATTCCTAAACAAATTTCAGAGAAATAAAAAAAAGCATCTTTTTCACTCATTCTTTTTATCTATATAGCTATAATTTAGTACTTTTCTGAGTAAAAAGAAGAGTTCACCTCCTGAACAATATTCTAAGACAAATACAAAGAATCTTCTAGATTCAAATGCATAGTACATTTTAACCACAAAAGGATCGTCTATCAAACACATGATATCTCTTTCATTTTGAATGATTTTTTATTTATTTTACTAAATTATAGGACCTTTTTCAATTAATTTCATGGCAAAATATTTTCCTGTTTATCTTTATCTAACCAAATACACTTTAGAAAATCCGCCCGTTCCAATACATCTTATAAATTCAAAATCTCTGAGACTCACTCTAGAAGTTTAGATTTCATTCTCAATTTCAAAAACAGGTTCTATTATCAAGGGTTTTATTTAACATTAATCTAAAATTAATAACGATTTTTCAGTCATAGACAAAATATAATCTACTGGGATAGATAAATTGCAGGTTTGAATTCCTATTATTTTTTATTTAAAGTTTTCCAAATATTTATTGATTTCTTGCCTAACAATATCCACCAAATGTTGAATAGTTTGGGTGGATACTTCAACTTATAATTTAATTTTGAGCATTTTGTATTGTAAAACCAGAAGAAGAATGGGTTTCTTCCTATTCATATTGATTGAAATATACCTTGCAGTAAGGGATTCAATTGATTGAAATTCCATTTGAGCTTCTTTAGGAGTGTTAAATTAGAGGATAGGGGTAATTGCTATTCTATTATTTATTGAATGAGTGTCATTCTTATGTTATGATAACTTCTAAGTATTCTATGGCCGAAATGATCCTTGAGATTTATGAAATTAATTGTTATATAAGTTTTCTAAGTGTTATTTTTATTAGATGTCTAAAATAGGTATGTCTGTATGCTATTTTAAAGATAAAGAATTCTTTTTTAATGATTTTGTTTGAAAGTTCTCTTAAAACTTCTGATAAAATTATGAAATCAATAAAGGATCTTTATTTTCTTCAATTTCTATTCCTATTCCTAAATTTTAGTATAAAGTATTTTAATTGGAATAAGGTTAAGTTTTTATGTGATTGGATAACTAGTGTTGATATTTACTTTTTAAATTGGATTGGAAAAATATTGGATTTGAACTTAAATTTTGTGGAGAGATAAAGCCTTTGGATATAAGGAGATCTTATTATTAAAATTTTCGAATATGTTTCCTCAGATAATAGTTCGAATATATTACTATTATTATATTTATTGAAGATTAGAAGAGGAACCATTCTAACTAAGTAAAGGGTGTTATTCAATAGGAACTTGTTTGCTAGTCTATGAAAATTTAGAATTTGATTACTTTAAAATCAAATTAAAAAGTGGGAGATTTAGAGATTTTAGGTTAGTCTCTATGAGTAGGATAAGCTAGAAGTTTCGAAGGGGACATTTCTGATGAATAAGTTTTGTGATGTTATCTTTTGGGAGGCATTTTAATAAATGAATTTATATATATTAATAATCATAACAATGGTTTCGACATTATTTCTACATCTTTGATCTTTTCAACAACAAAATTTGCAGTTATTTATCCAACTCCTAAAAATATCATAAATATTATTCCAATTTAGATTGTGAACTCAGGATATAAGGCAACTGCAGGGCCAGGACATAACCCTCCTATGCCCCATCCCATTCCAAATAAAGCAGCTCCAAGTATTAGCTTCAAATCAACTGTCTTATTTGTTGGAATTTCGAATTTGGTGTTGAATACTGGTTTGTCCAAAATTCTAAAAGTGATGAAATTGACCCCCACAGCTGTAATCATTACAAAAGCAAGACTTGCTAAAGATACAATAATAAATTACGATCCCAAATATCACTAATGGTTAAGAAGCTAATAATTTTCAATCTCTGAACCATTCCTGAGATAACCAATCCAAGTCCAAAAATGAATCCAGTTAGAGAAGCCACAGCAACATCAATAATCTTTGATTTATCTTATATATTTTATAGCACAAAGCATATCACTATGAGTGCTACACTTGCGCATAAAAATACAGTGGATATAATGGAATAGTCATTAGCAGAAAAGATGTTGTGAGAAGGACCATAGAAATCCTTGTTAATCACTAAAGGAAAAGTCAGGATGTATTCTTACCCCAATACCTGAAAGTAGCGGTTATGAATCCCATACCCATGAATGTGCCTACGGCTACAAATGATCTTATGGACAATCTAGGCAATCCACATACTCCATGTCCACTTGTACAACCATTCCCCATCTTTGTTCCAAAACCTACTAAAAACCCACTTAAGACACTTCCTCCCCAGCCAATTCCTGTCAACAATTATTCTGAGTTATATGAGGGGGATGCACCTTTCAAAATAGATGATTATCTAAATTAGTTTAAATATTTATACCCATTGTCATAAATTTTGAACATTATACAGGAGGCCAACATAACAGAACTCATAAGACTTAATTTCCAATTCCAGCTTCCTTTATCGAAAGTGATCAAACTATAGTATATTCCACTGAATCCTGTTACTCTACCCATCAACATGTAGTGGATGCTTGTTGCCACTCCTATCAAAAGTCCTCCGATTAAAGCTAAGTATACATCATCTGGATTCCAACAGATATTATTGCAATTACTCATTTAATTTATTAAAAGATTTATTTGCCTTTTTACAATTTTAATAGTTAAATTAACTATGCATCACATTTATTTTTATATTGATTTCTTATTTCCTATATTATTTAATTACCAATTCATTTATAATAGAATCATCTATAAAAGTACACTTTTAATATTGTTATCATTATCTAATATTAAATTTAATTCATATTAAAATTTGAATATTTTATTATTTATGATTGAAAGAAATCGAGTTTCTAGTCAATAAAAACTTCCAACCTTAGACTTATCATCTACAAATCGAGGAACTGCAGACAAGTTGAAAGTTAATGTAAAAAATTCCCCATTTAAATAGATTACTATTTAATCAGGAGATGCTTAGTTCATAAGTTTTCGATCTTTAAATGAACAAAATCCTAAGTTTCCCTTACCTCACAATTCAGTAGATTCCTCCTCTAATTTGAATTCAAGCATTTAGAATGATTTAAGTTAGAATAAGAAAATAGTGTAATTATTGGGCAATACTCTCTACCGATAGAAATTCGAATATTAGGAAGTCCAAGAAACTTTAATAGTAAATCATTCAAATATGTTTAGAAAAAAATGAGAACAATGACTAGAATGTAAAAATATGTAAAGCGAATTCCTCATAAAGTAGAATCATTTTAGAACATAGAGAAAATTACTCAAGCAACCCAATAATAATAAGTAAAAAAAAAAGTTTCATTTCCAATGTTTTATAACGGTGCCTTCTTCACCAAACTTTAGCATACTTGGATACCAACTGTAAGAGAAAATACTATGGCAGCAGACTATTAAAAGAGAATATACATGTTTGGTGGAATAGGAAGTGAAGTCTTTGGAGATATGATTGAATATGAAATATAATTTGGGAAATTTAGAGAACTTAAATAAAAAGGAGATATTCCATTAAATAGATATGGACATTGTTTGCATTGCCTAGGCTACCCTATGCTTTTATCTACTTAATTTTCCTATGACAATTAATAATAAAATCCAATTAATGGAAGACAATTAATTATTTATGGGGGAGAGATGCAATTTAACTCTGCCTTAAAAATAAGAGAAAATTTAAGTGACACCAGAATCTATGATATAGAAACAGAAACGTGGCAATTACTCAAACCCAATATAGAGTGTATTCCAGAGAGCAGACGATCATTTGGAAGTTGTATCATAGGAAGAGGCTTATTAATTATGGGAGGCATAAGAAGTAGATTCACAGTATTTAATGATCTTCATTATTTAAATCTAAGTAATTAACTTAATTAATGTAGGTTTATGCAAATGGACTCCTCTTGAGACACAAAAGAATCCATTTATAAAAGGACTTGCATTTTAGTAATTAGTTTGTGTCTATAACAAACCATAGTTTATCTTCGAAAAAAGAGAAACTCGCTCAAAATAACTAAAAAATTAAGATTATGAAGGTGTCTATTGTTTTGGAGGATGCTTTATTGATGAAAACAAAAACACTTAATATTATAGCAATTTTTTGGCAATTTTGAAATTCGATCAACCCTTTAATAATTGGGTTATACCTGAAATCACTGGTAAACCTCCCCTTCCCAGGATCTAACATACTGCTTCTTATATTCAAGATATGAACATTATAGTCATCTTTGGAGGAAGAGATGATTAAAAAATCAACCCATATTTTAATGATTTATTCGCTTTTAAAATTTTAGATCGAGAATGGATCCAGTTGGACATCTTTGGGAGTATTCCTCGACCAAGAGCTGCACATACTGCTGCAGCTTATAGAAGCTAAATTTTATATTTTGGAGGCGTTAATCTAAATGGGTATGTAGAATTTTCTGTAAATATTGCTGAATTTAATTAAAACTAAATTCGTTAATTGGCAGCTGAATATAGGCCCAATGACTAAAGACATGATTAAGAATTAGAAAAGGAAGAATAATAACCCTAGTCTATTATTAATAAGCAATATTTTTCTTTGCATTAAATAACCCCTGCTCCTTTAAAGAAACTAACTAAAGCTGAAGAACTAGACTTGTAAATAAAACAACTATCCTTTCAAAATTTTCCAAAGCATCTTAAATGAACTGTAATTTATATAATTATTATATAAGTCATTCATTATTTAGAGTTTTCATATAAAATAGTCTTAGTTTCAGTGCTTTTAATTTTACTTTATAAAAAAAACTATACTTTTTCATACTTTAAATATATTTTTAAACTTTTTTTTGATATTTAGAATTAAAATTTTCCAATTACTAAATAATGCACTCTATATTCCCTTAAGGAAAGTAATTCTCATAGGATTAATATTGATCGCATTGAATTGGGCAATGAAACCATTTATTGTTGCTTATTAAATCATCCAACATATTAAACTCCTTAACTTAATTATTCGATTCCCTTTTATTTAGTTTTAAACAATGAAAATCTTAATCTTAATTTGAAATTTGATCTACTTTGATTAATACTCTGTTCAAGGAACTTTCTGCAAACAATTACTTTGCTTACTCATAATCTCCGTCTTCCAACATAATTCCTGTCGTTTTTTTATGCTCGGTGTTTAATTCAGAGTAATTATTACTTTTTGATCTCTGAGCTGCTATGGCTACTTACAACGAATTCGAAACTTGATAACCGTAATTATCATCTAAAAACGAATTAACTTATTAACTAATCTATTAATGTTAACACAGTGTATTAACTTTACTTCTTCTTCTAAAAATTTTCAACCTATTTGGTTCATTTGATGATTAAGCCATTTTCAAAATCCTTTATTCTAAATCTGGCTTGTATGTTAGAATGGGGCAATCGATTTCTTAATGATTGTATCTATCACAAAATTGACATTGTAACTCAAATATTCTATAATTTGAATTGAAAATTATTTAATCTTTCATGTAATGAAATTTTTCAAAATCTTTCCTGTTAAATTGCAAAATATCTAGAAAATCTTATCTACTAATTTTATAGATATTTGAAAAGCCAACGCTGATAGCAGATGTCTTAGGTGGAAAATTAGTAAAAAATTAATATATCCCAAAAGGTTAATTTAATTGTAGTTTTGTGAATTTCATCTTACTGGATTCATCAATAATATCAACTTCTCCCTCCTTAATGAAATAAAGGTTTTTATCAGAAATTTCACCTCTTTTATAAATATAATCGCCTGGTGTAAAATTTACTAATTCCAACATTTTCGATAATTCTTGCTATGTTCTTTTAGAAAAATGGTTGATCACAAATTTATCTTTACTGATAACTTTAGTTTATATATCAGTATTTAAATCTTATTATAGGTTTTTAGGTAATAAGGAAATTAAATTATTAACGTCCTCTTAATTCTCATTTTGTTCCTATTCTATATAATATTTCAAATAATTTCTGATTCTGCTCTAAATTTAAGGTTCTACTTAGTTCTTACTCATATATGTATTCATTTACAGCAAAGATCTTTTATATTTTATTTTTGAGTCTTGAAGATTCTTTAAGATCATACCTATCGAATTCATTGAATATGCAAAAACTCCACTAGACAAAAACATAATAATGTCTACATAAATAATTTCTAACTAACTTTGTGCTGTTATATCACCGTATCCAACCGTAGTCATTGTCATTGTTGCCCAATAGAATGAATAATTATATTACTTCCATAGAGATTCATTGATTAATTGATATCTTATTAGCCATGAAGTTTCTTCAGATTTTATTCCAATATAATGCCAAAAGCATGCAACAATATGTGCAAAAAAATATATTGAAAAGATCAAACTTAATAAATCCATTAAAAAGCTTGAAGACCCTTTAAAAAAGGCAAGCAAAAAATAATCAGATAAATACTTTTAAATCTTTCTGTATGTTACAATTACCTAACAAAAAGTAAGGAATTCACCCAATATTTAATATTATACCAAATCTTACCAAATCATAATCCATAACGCCAAGTTCATAAGGTCATTGCCTGCAGTCGTTTAAGTATATTGTTAAATCAATTTTCGTCTCTTTTTAATCACAATTCCTTGGATTATGATTCCTTTATTTAAGGTTACAATGATATCACTTATTAAGAATATAATAATGAAAAATTAAAGGGCTGAAAATGAAATCAAGTCAGATTACGATTAAAAGGATAATAGGAATGGACTTAGCCAGAGGATCATAAAATTAATAATTGTTCCAATTGCATCCCATATGAAAATAAATCCGCTTGTTGGTGAGATCACAGGTAAGCTTGATTAAGAAAATGTTGCTTTTAAAATTAAGAATTTATATACCTAAAATTGGCTATTTTATGCTTTATTTAATATACTTTTCATGAATAAGCTATTTTTTATTTTGTCTTAACACATATGAATTTGTAAACAGATTATTAATAAATTGTTATTTCATTCTTTCGGCTTTTAGAGCCTTTAAAAAGTTTGAATGAATCCAAGTACTATCAAACTTTGTCTTTTTTAATGTTGTATTAACAGTATTAATTTCACTAGTCATTTTAATTTTTTAGTTTAGTTATTCCTAAAGAATCATTCTAGGTTATTTAGAATTGTTGCGAGTATGTGATTTGCTTCGATTTTAATCAATCATTTATCTACTACTATCATCCGAGATTTCAGATAATCTAGAAGCTGACTCACTCTTGCTGCTGATTTACCTAGTCAACACTCGAGGATTAGGATTAGACTTCAAATGTGAATTATGATGTTACATAATTAATAATAATTATTATTATAAATATAGTTTCTTTTGTTTTTTTCTTCATTTGCAAAAGGTGTTTATTTGAATCCTTAATCTGATTCCAATTCAGCGATTGGAAAAATAGTATTTCATAATATTACTAAATCTAATCTTCCGCCATTCTCCTTAAATAATGAACCCTTGATTCTAAATTCTTTGACTATAAATTGCTTTGTTTAATAATAAAAATCTAAACTGAATTCAAAATTCTCATTCATTTCGACCTTACGGAATTTACATTCATATTACATCTTAAGTTTTTCTTTTTCTCATCTGTTTATACATTATTTAAACTGAATATTTTAACATTTTTACATTGACTTATTTGGTTTAAATTTATTCTAGTTATGTTTCTTAATGTTCCATCTTCATGATGTCTTTTCATCTTCTTAAATTTAATATATACCAATAATAAAGGTCTTAAGGGTCGAATTCACATTTAAAAGATATGACTAAAACATTTAGAATTTATTTAATTTGAGTTTAGAATTTTTTTTGCAAGTTTTGGTTTAATATTTATAGAGAGCAATATAGAATAGAATCTCAAAACTAAAACTCGATTACAAATATGAGGCTTGTAAACATAATTCTGAATATTCTGCAAAATAACTTAAACTACTCCTTTTAATTAAATGAAAATTTCCTCATAATTTATAAATTATAATATTTTCTTTATATNTTTAAAATTAAGAATTTATATACCTAAAATTGGCTATTTTATGCTTTATTTAATATACTTTTCATGAATAAGCTATTTTTTATTTTGTCTTAACACATATGAATTTGTAAACAGATTATTAATAAATTGTTATTTCATTCTTTCGGCTTTTAGAGCCTTTAAAAAGTTTGAATGAATCCAAGTACTATCAAACTTTGTCTTTTTTAATGTTGTATTAACAGTATTAATTTCACTAGTCATTTTAATTTTTTAGTTTAGTTATTCCTAAAGAATCATTCTAGGTTATTTAGAATTGTTGCGAGTATGTGATTTGCTTCGATTTTAATCAATCATTTATCTACTACTATCATCCGAGATTTCAGATAATCTAGAAGCTGACTCACTCTTGCTGCTGATTTACCTAGTCAACACTCGAGGATTAGGATTAGACTTCAAATGTGAATTATGATGTTACATAATTAATAATAATTATTATTATAAATATAGTTTCTTTTGTTTTTTTCTTCATTTGCAAAAGGTGTTTATTTGAATCCTTAATCTGATTCCAATTCAGCGATTGGAAAAATAGTATTTCATAATATTACTAAATCTAATCTTCCGCCATTCTCCTTAAATAATGAACCCTTGATTCTAAATTCTTTGACTATAAATTGCTTTGTTTAATAATAAAAATCTAAACTGAATTCAAAATTCTCATTCATTTCGACCTTACGGAATTTACATTCATATTACATCTTAAGTTTTTCTTTTTCTCATCTGTTTATACATTATTTAAACTGAATATTTTAACATTTTTACATTGACTTATTTGGTTTAAATTTATTCTAGTTATGTTTCTTAATGTTCCATCTTCATGATGTCTTTTCATCTTCTTAAATTTAATATATACCAATAATAAAGGTCTTAAGGGTCGAATTCACATTTAAAAGATATGACTAAAACATTTAGAATTTATTTAATTTGAGTTTAGAATTTTTTTTGCAAGTTTTGGTTTAATATTTATAGAGAGCAATATAGAATAGAATCTCAAAACTAAAACTCGATTACAAATATGAGGCTTGTAAACATAATTCTGAATATTCTGCAAAATAACTTAAACTACTCCTTTTAATTAAATGAAAATTTCCTCATAATTTATAAATTATAATATTTTCTTTATATAATATATATTTTTATTAAACATATAAACCAAAATGATCAAAGAAAATAAGATTTTGGTTGTCTATGAAACATTAACTACCAATCAATTATTTTTGAGTTAAATAACAGATTCTAATGTAGTAACTTCTTGAATAATTTGAATCAAATCTAAAATTGTTAGGATTGATGAAACTCAACTAAAGATAGTAGTTGAAGGAAAACCTTCAAAGTAATAATATGGGTTTAAATAAAATGTATAAATTTTAGATAAAATTTTGATGTAATTATATTTTCCAAATTTTCTTATCATTATTTCTTATTTTTTAATTGGATTAATAAATGAAAAATAAAGAATTGGATATTTAGAATCTTACCTTTGAAACATTCACAATATAGACTATATAAAGAATTGTTGAATTTATTTATGTTATTTATGGAGGATCAAATATCAGCAAATATTACAAGAAATATCTCATTTTACGAACATACTCTAATTTTAATTAAAAATGAAGAAAAGAAGATTTTATGCATCCAATTTGGTTAATAACACTTTCGTGATCTATTATATAAGATAAATACTGTACAGCAATATTTTTGCATTAAAAAACTCCATATTTTAATATCTCTTTAATTAGCTGAAACCATAGTCTTCCATAATGAATCAAATACTGTCACAATCACATGAAGGTCATTTTATGATTGTTATGTTTTGCGTTTAGTGAGATTGGGATTTATTTATTTCATGATCGAGATATCAATCAATTAGTTTGGAAAATCCTAAAATAATTATGGTAAAGTTCTTATCTATATTGTCTTAATATAAATGGAGGATTGATTAATATCTTGTAATTGATATACAATTAACCATTTATGGATTGTTTAAAAAGAATCGGAATACAAGCTATCGATGTAAAATGATATCAAAAATGAATTAATGAGTAAATTAGAAATTGTTCGTGCTTATTTTTATCATAAATAAAGATATTGCAAAATTACGGAGAATTTATATATATCTGTGATTTAAAAAATGAATATTTTCATTTTGAATGCGATCAGATTGAATAATACAAAATTTTTTTTATTTAAGAATATTTTATGTTGTTGCTAAAAATTTTAATAACTTAACATAAATAAATAATTATGATTCATAAAGAATGACTCTCTGTTTTGTTTTTAAACTACTATGTTGATTTTAATTAAAAAAATTTGTTAATCACAAAAATAAATGGTACCTAATAACCATACATATTATTTATTATCAAAAATTTTGAACTCTGTTGTAAAATCTCAGTGGTTTTCAATAAAAAATTGAAGATTATGTCTCAGAAAGTAAATTCAACAAATTCATTAAAAGATACAAATACATTGACTCATAATTATTTGAATAAAAAAAATAAAAATAAAATGAAATACACTGGGAGAATTAATGAATTTTTATAAACAACCAAAAAATTCTAAATTTGAGGTTATGATTAATCATAAGTTGTAAGATTAAATGCTCTAGATATAAGTATTTAAAAACTTATACAAGTTTTTTTTAATAATAATTAAATGGTTTAGATCAACATTATTCTTCAACTTTTTTATAATCAATCTTGTCATTATCATTGTCTATGCATTTGTATTTATACCAACTACAAAAAGATATTTGATCACAATCAATTTAATTATAATAGTCTGAGCATTTTTTATCATAGCAAAGCTTTCGTTTCTCATCTCAATTGCAATACTAATTAACGCATTTACCAGCCTCTCTAGCTTACAATGTAACCCATGATGAGTCCCAACATTTGTTATTTCTCCAAGAGCGAGCAACCTAATTTATTGTAGTAAATACAATTTGACAACACCTTTCCTAATGCAATTCTTCTGTGCATTTTCTGATGAAAATTCATTTTCAGGATTAATTGATTGCATAAGTTTTGACATTTTGAAATTGACCAATAATCCCATTCACTATTGTCATTTTCATTACACTACCTTTGATCTGTTATTTCATTACATTAACTGTTAACACAAGTTAATTAGGTAAGTATCCAAATGAGAAATATATTCATATTAAATATTCTCATTTGAAATATTAATTTATAAATATCGTTTAGAGGATTTTATAGATATTTAAAGTTTATTTTTTTTTTCAACAAATGAAAATCTCATTACCTTTGAGATTTGATTCAAATATACATTCATTAGTAAATCATTCTATATATCCTCATAAATCTAACAAAATTACAAATTTTATAAATTGTTCTTATCTGCCCTAATAATTTTATAAATCAAATGAATTGCTGTAGGTTATTCTAAGATATTTAAAGTACCAAATTAATGATTTAGAACATTGAGTTTTTGTTCCGAGATATTTTTATAGAGATTAAATCAATTTCAAATAATAATAAATAATCATAATTACTTTTGTTTTTCCAATGAATACATCTTATCTTAAACTAATTAAATAAGACGTCACAGAGAGTTTTTATTGATAATATAAATCCTATAGTTACAAACACTATTATATAAATTATTTTTTAATTCTAATTGGCAAAAATAATCTCATTCTCTTCTTTTTATTTATTCTTATGACATGTTTTTTAAATTAAAATTTTTAGTCCAAAAAATTAGAAATTGATTCTTAATATTAATTAGTTAATTGTTAAGTTGAGATTTGGTAAAATGTAATTTAGAAAAAATTTAGCTAAAGTAGCCTTTCAAACATACAATTTCTTTAAAGGTGAAATGGTTCATAATATTTAATATTTTGATTACCTCCCTATTTATAACTTTTTGTTTTTAGTCAAATATTTTATTTTTCTTTTTTATTTGCTTCATCCAATCAAATTTATTATTTTGATATTGATGGTAAACTTAAGTAAAATTAGGAAAATATCAAACTCCCTTATCAATAGATCATACTTTGATCTTAAAAATTAGAGAAGTGGGTAAGTAGATAATGGATAAAAATTAAAATAATTTGAAGTAATACCACCATTAATACTTAAAAGAAATTTTTATATTTATCAAAGAACATTTAGAAGGTTTCTAATTTACTAAGTCTATTTAATTTATCTATATTGGGATGATGGTGTTATTCTTCTGGGAAAATGTGATTAATTATAAATTTCTTGGTTATGGAGGATTTAATTGGAAAGTATTGAATATTTTAATATTAATTACTGGGCAAACTAATTCTAATAAAATATTGAAAAATAGAGGATGGTAAATTAATCCAAGATCTGAGAAAATAAATTTCATGAAAACTAAATTTATTGAATTGAGTTCAAAAACATTTTTCAAAATGTTTTGTACAAAAAATTGAATTAAATAAAGTAGTTAGCCAGATAAAGATAATCAATTTTGATTCACTAAATTATCCAATGAATTAATACAGATTAAAATTATATGAGATTGCAGTCTAATATTTCTTTCATGTATTAAGGTAGTTTTTCATAACAACAATAATTAAAAAAAGATTGAATTTTTGGAGAGGCACCTTATTTAAATCGCCTTTTTATTTTTGTGATAAATTTTAAAATTTCTAAAACTCATTTGCTTCTTAGTCTTTCTTTTATTATCACATTATACTTTGAAAGAATGAATATGTTATCAATAAAATTTAGTATCTAATCCTATATTGAACCAATAATAACATCATTAAATGAAATCATTTTTTAATAATAATAGATTTCATGGTATTCATAGAGCATTGATATTCACATTTATAGCAACCATCATATTGGATTTCCTTGCCATCATCACATCATTCAAAAAGGGGAGTCATAATGCTATCTTCACAAACTGGAACAGATTTTCCATTTACCTTTATTTAAGGAAATTAACAAAGCTCACAATTTTAGAATTTTTTTACAAGTAGTACAGCCAAAATCACAATCATACTTACAGTTAGCACAATATGGATCTTCATAATCATCGAATATTTCGTTTGATAAGATTGCTAATTACCCATCTCCACAAATTAGTTCTCTTGAATCTAGACAAAGATAGCATTTATCATTTGAACAAATAAGCATTCTAATTGACAATTTTTTTTGCATTTGAGACACCCATCTCATTGAATTCTATTCTCATCATCACAAATTTCTTAATATTAGATTATTTCATCTTTGATTGAGGAGTGCATTGATTTTTATGAAAATAAAGTTCATACCCAGCTTAACATACCAAACATTTCCCATACTACTAAAGTATACAATTAAATGTATTTAAAATAACTTTGGTGATATTAATAACAAAACACTCCATAACTCAGTTCATTGCAATCTAAAATATTACCCTCTGAATTTAAATTATTAAGAATAAAATGTTACACATAATTCTGACATATTATTCTATACTATTATTTTTAAAGGAAAACTTATTAAAAATGAGAAATATTAGAAATTAGTTTCAAATTTACCAATAGTAGCCTTCATCTTTTAAAAAAATTATAGCATTCGATGTTATCCTCTTAATTATTATCACTGTAATCAGCGATCAGTCAATTCCAATTTTCTAAATGTTATAATTATCTTAAGTTGAAGCAACTTGTTAAGAAATAACTTAAACGCATACCGATTTAGAGATAATTATTAATTGTATAAATAGGTATTTGGAATGTTTTAAATATAAGTTATTATAAAGATTTATAACTATGCTGAATGTTCTATCGTTTTATAATCAAATTTACTTGAAAGAACACACAAAAAGACGCAAACCTTTAATATGAACAAGAAATATAATTTCAATTATTTTAGAATAAAATTTAAACTAAGCAATGTCATTCTTTCTATCCTAAATAAGTCAAAATAAAATCCATAATTTAATTGAGCTTCTTCAATAATATGTTTTATTCTAGGTAAGGAGAAATCAGATGGATGAACTAAATTTCAAATTTATGCAGCATATTTTCTTGATTCTAATATGAAACCAAAGAAGTCAATATCTGATTCTTTTAAATTTGTAGTCTTTTATCTCTTTTTTATTCATCAGGAGAAAAGGAATTCAAGATTCAATTTATATCAGTAGTCCTAACAAATATAATCCAATTACAAAATAATAGTTAATCTCACTCTGAATTATTATTTGAATGCTTCAAGAAATATTGACTTATTAATTAAAATTAAACCACTTATTTAGTTATGGAGATCAAAATATAAAATTAGTTAAATCAAAATATTATTGAATTTGAAGTTAAAGAATAATTAGAGACTTCTAATTCTTAAATTATCTTAATTAAATATATGTTTTAATCTATCATTAAATTTAGCAACATTGTTATTTTTATACTTTTATATCCCTTTAATAATTGATTTATTAGAATGTTTTGATTTTCTAATCTGCAATTGAGATCGCTTCCACAATAATTGCTCTTAAATTCATCTTCTGCTAAGTTTAAAGTATTCTTTAGCAATTATCTTCTAAGTATTTCAATATGATTAATGAATGTTCGACTCCTTTCTTCCAGTAAGGGTTTTCAGCATTTTTCTCAAATTTTCCTTCTTGTCTAGATAATTCTATAATAAATGAATAATATTTTGATTATTAATCTATATAAGGTTCTACTTACAAACTTTTAGCTAAATAAATTGATGCAAATTAGATTTCCCTTTCTAATTCAGAAGGAGTGACAGCAAATCGCTGCAATATACTTGCAAGATTCATCATTCTATTCTTAAATTTTTTATTTTTCATTTATTCAACTCCAAAATCTAATGCAGAGTTTATAATGTTGAATGCTGCCCCTACAATTGGTATGAATCCTGTAATAGCATTACTAACATTAACAACGGTTTGTAAAATATTCAATATTTTCTCTGAATTAGTTTCAATCAACGTATCTGAGTTAAATTAAATTAGATTTGTAGAAATTAATGACATAGCTTGTAAATAATTATATAAACGCCAAAATACAGATCTATAATAAAGATACATATTATCAGACTTCTCTAGCTAAATTAGCTCTTATTAAATTACAAATGGTTCTTACTCCATTAAAATTTAAATTTAATTTTAATTAATTCTTTATTGCTATTCAAGCATTCTAATTTTTTCACTTAATTATTAAACTTCTTAACTGATTTTCTAGCATAATTGTAAGATATCTGAAGAAGATTAAGATGTTCCTTCAAATGAGGAATTTCGTAAACTGTTTTTTATTTGAATTTCACATTATGAGATTTTTTGTGCATATTCTGACGATTCTTAAGAATATAAAGTATTATTTTTTGTAAACATATACATTTCATCCTTAATTTAATTCAGGCCTGTATTGATATTTTATAAAAGTTTAACTTTTAATTTGATATACTTCACATTTTCTTAAGTTAAATTTAACACAGCCAACGTAGAGGAAGTTAGATTTAATAGATTTGTTTCAGCCATTTCCAAATAAATCTGAGCTTGCTTGTGATCTTTTAACAGAAAAAATAATTGTCCTAAAGAAGCACTTGAAAGAGGATCTTAAGGAGCCAAACTAATTGCTTTACGGTAATCTTCAATTGAGCGTTCATAATATTCCATCAATTCAAACACCTTACCTAAACAATGTATTATATTTTACCTCTTTTATACCAGCACTCTGATATGTCTGGAAGCAAAATGACTGCTTCATTAAAATCTTATAAAGCTTCATCTAATTTATTTGCTTATAAATATAAATTTCCTATTGTTAAATATTATCTTACACCTCTTAGTAAAAATAAGTTCTCTTTATCTTCTATCTCATCTTTTTTCAATTTTACTTTTTCAAAATCCTGTAAAGCTTTGATATTCTAATTTAATTTAAAGTGTGAGATGCCTAAACTTAGAGTTATTTTTACCCTTTATATAATGTACTTAGGAGGAATTGAGATTTGGATTAATTTTAATGACTTAATTTAAACACGATATTGTTTAAGGGTAATCATTTAAGTCAAAATAAACTTATGCCTATTATCAATAAAGTACTAAACTTTTGCAAAATATAGATTAATCGACTTGATAAACGATGTCTTTTGTTTTGTTAATTCGTTAAAAATATATAAAGCCCTTTGCTTGTCATTTTTAATTTCATCTATGCCTGTTTAATACATAAATTCAAGTATATTCTGAGCCTTGTTCTTTTCTCCAAACTTTAGATGTACAGCGGCTATCTGAAGATTGGGTTATTACCTCTAGAAAAATTTTGATTATCTGTGTTATATATGTATTCCTTAGATCCATATTTCCCTCCATCTTCATCAGAATCATCATCAAAAATTTAAGAGCTCATTTAAATTATTAATATTCTTTTAATTAAGATCCATTTGATTTCATTCCTCTTTTATCTGATCTTTCAACTCCCTAGGAGTGATATATCATTCTATAAATCATCACTGAATATATTGGTGTTAAACAGATACTTCAATTATTTATGAAACATGAAAACTTTATAAAAAAATGATTAACTTCTTCCTGTTGAGAGCTTTATTTCTCCAATTTACTTGTATTTATTAAAGATAGAACTCTAAAAAGTTTAAGTAATATATTTTTTATCTTTTTCCAGTTGCTCCAGTAAATCTGACTGCTTAATCTTCTAACTTTCATTTTTCCTCCTTACCATCAAAAGAAAAGCAAACTGATTCTACTGCACTCGTATATAAACCATTTTGTACTTACTATTTCTCTAAACGAAGCTCTTTAAAAATGGGTTTGGGGTTGGTAGACCCCTCTAAATTAAGAGAGATAAAACAATTCTCGTATGTTCTATCTCTCTTATATTTATACGCGAAGGCAAAAAATCCCTGGCGGTGAATTCCGGAAGACCTTCTGTGGAAGCCCGACTGTTGGGTTTTGGGTTTGGGTTTGGGGTTGGGTTTGGGTTTGGGGTTTGGGGTTGGGGTTTGGGT